CTCCCCATTTGCATTCAGCAAGCTGCTAGAGATGGTTTCTAGAACGAGCTGGCAGTAGGAGCGCTTTGCTTTCTCAATTTGGTGCTAACTTTGCTGAGACTTGGACTGATGGGGTTTATTCAAAGTTCCAGCCAATCCTCTAAGGCACCTGCTATGGACTATTTCAATGTATTTTGAACAATATTATTTAATGGTATTGGAAAACCATCATGATGTAAAAGTTACCACAAGCAGGGCATATGTAGGTACTGGGGAGATGGTTCAGTGGGCAAAGTGCCTTGCCACTCAAGCATGAGAACCTGAGGTCAGATCCAGCACCCACATAAAAAGTTGAGTGTGATGGTGTCCGTAACTCCAGTGCTGAGGGGTGGGGAGGGAGGACAGAGCCAGGCAGATCCCTAGAGCTCATTAACTAGCCAGCCTAGCCAAATCAAAGTGCTCTGGGTTCAGTGAGAGACCCTATGTCAAAAAGTAAGATGGAGATCGATAGGGAACAATCCCTTACATTGACCTCTGACTTCCACATGCACACACCACACAAACATACTTATACCCCCTGCCCCAATGCACTTGCCTGTGTGCATGTACTCAGTAAAAATGTCTTTAGTTGCTAGTAACAATGTTTTGTTTTTCAGTGCTTTAATTTGAAGGTGATAGTGGTACTGGTTTGCTTGAGATTTGGGAATATCCCAGGACATGGGACTTATACTTGAACCTGGGACAATCATAGACAAACCAAGTCTTAAGTACCTTTAATACAGCAGTCCTTCAATGTACAAGGAAGGTTGCTTGGGCCCTTAAGGACACCAAAATTCACTTTAAGTCCCTCATGAAAAATGAGATAGTATTTGCATGTAACCTACCACAGTCTTCTCTATCCTTTATGTCATCTCTAGATGATGTGGAATACCTAACATAATGCAAATGCTATATAAAGTGGTTGTAGAGTGCTGTATGGGGATTGATGAAAAGGAAAAAATGCACATACTCGTTTGTGTTCCCTGGTGGTTTAGTGGTTAGGATTTGGTCCTCTCACTGCCATGGCCTGGGTTCAATTCCTGGTGAGGGAAGCCTCTCGTCTTCCTTTCAGTCTTGAATCTTTTGGGCACCGTCACAGATACAACTTTTTTCAGGATATTTTCCATTTGTTCTTGGATAGGAACTCATAGCTATGGAAAGCCAACTGTATTCATTTAAGAAGTCCAGATGCAGGTGATCCAAGGATCAGTAAGTAGGTGGCTTCAGGATTCCATCAAAGGTCTGGCTCTTTCTTTACTTCTGTCTGCTGTCTTCTCCACTGTGGCCACAACAACAGTTTCAACACTGTGAGGGGAGTCACCCAAAGCTCTTTTTCAGAAGTCCCCAATCAGTTTCTCTTACATTTTGTTGGCCCAAAGTAGGATTCATGGTTACCCTTAGCTGCAAGGGATCCTGGAAAGGTAAATGCCTGGTCAAAACAAATGGGATGCCATTTGTTTTCAATTGGGCCTTCATTTGGGGACTGGACACTTTGTCTCTGGAACAAATCAAGTCTAGTGGAAGAAAGGAGAAGGGCCTCAGCAACCATCTACATCTGCCCCAATCCCCAATCTTGTGTTCAAATGGGAAGGAAATGCCATGGTAAAATAGTTACAGACATGAACAAGGGCTGAATGACCAGTATGGAACTTTGGAGGACCTTACTTGACCTCCAGTACTTCATCTGTAAATGAAGATAAAAATAATGTTTCCAGAGACTGGGTATGGCAACACATGCTTGTAATCACAGTACCTGGGAGGCTGAGTCAAGAGGATTGCTAGCAGAGTTCCAGAGTAGTAAATCTAGATCTTCTGGGGACAACTTGATGACCTGAGGAATACAGTCTCAAGTTGATGAGGATGGGGGCCCTCAGGAAACACCACCATAGCTGGGTACCTGCTAGAAACAGCCTAATGTTAAATACACCAAAACTCTTGGAAGATGTGGGGCCTCTGGGGGAATGCCTGTCAAAGTGATACACAATTTTAGGGTCCTTCTTTGTACTTGTAAATATTTCCAGAATTTTCAGTGATTAGGGATCTATTCTTTAATCACATAAAATATCCTTGTGTTTGTTGTGTGTATAGTATATGAACTTGTTAGTGTGGGTGTGTGCATGTGTGTGTGTAAGAACACATGTGGCCAGAGGTTGACACTGGGTATCCTTCCTTGATCACTCTCCACTTTTTTTTGTGACAGAGTCTCTCAGTGAACCTAGAGCTCATCTATTTTGCTAGACTTGCTGGTCAAGGAACTTCAGGGATCTGCCTGCCTCTGCAAGGCCCCATTCCCAGGGTTAGGGTTACAGGCACACACCACTATGTCTTGCTTTTTATGTGGGTTCTGGGCACCCAAAGTCAGGTCCTCATACTTACATGGTAGGCACTTTGCCCACTAAGCCATCTCCCCAGACCCAGATAAAATACCTTTTAAAAACTCTTACAGAAGTTATGAGTGATACTCAGTTATTGCCCAGCCCTCTGCCCTCTTGCAGTGTACACAATGAAGTTTTTTTTCTAAAGCAAAAACTTTTACAGAAAGGAATACAATCTATTTTTATTAAACATTTCTGTGTATTTATTTGTCTGAGTGTGTGTGTGTGTGTGTGTGTGTGTGTGTGTGTGAAGCCTAGAAAGTGTGTCCAGTGCCCCCTCTATCACTCTCTACCATGCCCTTGAGTCAGGGTCTCCCCTTGAATCTGGAGCTCGTATTTTCCTGGTTAGGCTGGAAACCAGCAAGCCCCAGTGATCCTCCTGTTTCCCTCTTCTCTGAGCCAGAGTTAAGGCATTTGTAGGGATCCTGGATTTGTTAGGTAGGTGCTGGCATTCAGACTCTGGTTCCCATGATTGTCAGCAAATGTTCCTAACCACTGAGCCATCTTCCTAGCCTGCTTTCAGTTTGTTTTTCCAAGCTTTTGCATGTGAGCTGTTTCTCAGACATGGCTTGTCCAACATCAGTCCCTTTCTCCCCCGACCCCTGCTTCTTCCTCATAACAACAGATGACACTTTTACAAGTATCACACATTGTGTTGTGCTTTGAATGGGAGATATCCCCCACAGGATCCCATGTTTGAACACTTGGCCTCCAGCTGGTAGCGCTGTTTTAGGAGTTTATAGACCTTAAGGAGGTGGAGCCTTGCTGAAGGAAGTGGGTCACTGATGTGGGGAGGAGCTTGAGGTTTTCTAGCCTGACTCCACTTCCTGTTCGCTGCTTCCTGACTGTGGACACATTGTGACCTGCTGCTTCACATTTCTTCTGCCATGCCACTCCACCATGATGGAAGCCCTTCCTACCTTAATTTGCTTCTTGTTAGGTTTTTGGTCACAGCAAAAGAGTAACTAATATACTGTGTGTATCCCAGGCACTGCACCTAGAAGCTAACATGAGTAATCATTCTAGGAAGTCATACCTAAAGAAGAGGAAAGTGAGGGCTAGAGAGATGACTCAGCATAAGGTGCTTGCTGCAAGACTTATGAATTGACTCATGGTGTGGACCAGCTGAGTCCCCTGACTTGTGTCTACACTGGTAGCCTGAGAACCTGCACACTTCCTTGTCTCTTCCTGGGAAACATATAATGTTTCCAAAGCCATTGACTCTCTCCCTTCATCTGCCGTTCTCTTCTTCAGAGCACCCAGAGCACAGCCAGCTCCATATCCGAAGCATCCACGCCTACAGGATCCACCTACCATGGCTTGTAAATTCAGGAAGAAGGGTGTATCTATAGACTTCTTGTCTTTAGTTCTAAGTCACACAGGGTGATGCTTATACAGCATCTATATTGTAGTGATTGTATTGGGTGTTACAAGTCATGCACAGAAGACTTAAGCATATGTGGAGATGTGTGTAGGTTATATGCAAATGCCACACCATCTTATATAAGGGACTGGGGCATTTTCAGATTTGGTGTCTTTGAGGCTGTCCTGGGACCAGTCTCCCACAGACTGAGGGGATATATCTGTGATTACTTTCTGTCTTGACTGACAATGTGGTGGCTTCATAATCTTGCTTGTTGTTGTCTCCTCAGAGCTTAGGCCTGTGGCTGACATAGTAGATGCTCAATAAAGGACATGTGGCATGAATGTGCACACATACACACTGTGGAAGTGACGATGTCTCAACTACCACTGACCTATCAAACCCTTTGTACTCAGTGTGATTCCCACCTCTGAGATTCTCAATCCCTCTCCACAAAGTCCAACATGAAAAGAAAGCCTTACATTAATCAATGCTCATCCCATAGTGGCAGAAGATGGGCCAGCAGAGACAGAGAGGCAGAGAGAACACACAACCTCTTACTTCCTCTTTTGTATTCCGTTTCCCTATCCCGGCCTCCAGCTGACTGGATGCTGCCTACGCGAGAGCAGGGCTTCCCTACTCAGTTCACCAACTCATATGCCATTCCCTGGAAAGGTCCTCACAGACTGTTGTGGTTTGAATGGGAAATATCTCAGACAGGCTCTTATTTCAGAATACTTTGTTCCAAGCTGGTGGCAGTGTTGTGGAAGATTGTGGGACTTTTAGAACCTGGGACCTAGCTGGCAGTCACAAGGCTGTAGGGGTGGGGTTAGAGGGTTCTAGACACTGGGTTCCCACCCAAGTGCTCTGCTTACTGGTCTATACTATGTAAAGAGTATAGACCACACTGTCACAGCCAAGGAGCTGTAAGCCACCATGCCTTCCCTGCCATGATGGACTGTATCCCCTAAAACCATGAGCCCACGTAACTCCTTCCTCTCATAAGTTGCTTCTGGTTAGGTATTCTGCCACAGAAATGAGAAAAGTAATGAATACACAGTCTTGTCCAGAAACAGCGTGACATAGGCCTCCCTCAGGACCACCACGTTGACACCCAAATGAGCAGTCTGCGCTTCTTTAGAAAAGGGGACCCACTCCCACAACCTCTTATATTTAAACCAAGATGATTCGAGAGTGCGTTCTGCTGCAGTAACCTGTTGTTGCATGGCATCCTGTCTTCCTAGGATGGATGACATCCAGCTCTGCAAGGACATCATGGATCTGAAGCAGGAGCTGCAGAACTTGGTCGCTATCCCAGGTAACCATGTGTGAATCCACTTGGTGTTAGTGGCCGCCCAGGACTCCCTGCCTGCCCAGTCTGTGCCCTTAGGATCTGGAAGACAGAATCTCAATCTCTCTCTCTCTCTCTCTCTCTCTCTCTCTCTCTCTCTCTGATTTTTTATTTATTTTTATGTGTATAAATGTTTTGTCTGCATGTATGTATGTAGACTACTTGCACAAAGTGCCCATGGAGGCCAGAAAAGAACATCAAATCCCCGGAACTGGAGGTGGTTGTGAGCCATCATATAGGTGCTGGAACCCCAGTACACGTAACCATTGAGCCATCTCTCCAGCCCCCAGAGTTTGTCTCTTTTTCTAATGAGGATTAATTTTTGCAATGCAGGCTCCATGACTACATAGTTTAAACACAAGTTTATGCTGGGTATAGTGGCACATGCCTGTAATCCTAGCACTTGGGAGACAGAGGCAGGAGGATACCCCACAAGTTTGAAGCTAGCCTGGGCTACTTATTGAGACTATATCTTAAACAAATGACAAAATAAATACAAATTCACATCAGGTAGATCAGGATTCAGGTTTGAATCCTAGCCACCTTCTTGACCTCAGGAAAGTCACTCTATTTCTCCAATATTCAATTTGTCTTCTTTTGAAATAGAATAGAATAGCACCTAACATAAGTCTCATGGGGGCCAAGAGGTAGTTCAGTAGTAGAATACGTCCGTAGTGTATACAAATCCCTGGGTATAAGCCCCACCACTGCAAAAAAAAAAAGAAAATAAAGTTGCCCAGGTCTAATTATCACTGAGATAAATGTACACTGCAGACCAAGTGCCAGCTTGGTGTTTACCAAAAAAGTCCATTATTACCATTTTTATTTGTTTAGTTTTTTTGTGGGGCATATTTTAGGGAGGGGTGTTGGTCAGGATCTCACTATGTACCCCTGGCTGGCCTGGAGCTCTCTGTGTAGACCAGGCTGGCCTCAAACTCACAGAGATCTGCCTGTCACTGCCTCCTGAGTGTTGGGATTAAAGGTGTGTGCCTCCACACCTGGTCTCATTTTTTCCATTTTTACCATGTATGAGAACAGAGAGAAGTTACAGGCTCAAACTTTGGAGTAGACTCTAGATCTATTAATTATTATTATTTGATCCCCTTTCCTCCTAAATGACTTCCTTCCCCAAGCACTCTGGGTTAGGTGCCCCCATGGGGCTGCTGCATGTCAAAGGACTAATCAATTGACTACCTGTTGTATTATCATTCTCTAGATGAACAGAACTGATTAAATGAATATATATTAAAAGGTGATTTATTAGATTTACATACACAATACGGTCTAGGTAGTCCAATAATGAGGAGGCTCAGAACCTGGTCATTGCTTAGTCCACAAGACTTGATGCCTGACTTGTCAGTGCCCATCCCTGGACAGGCAGATGGGAAAGCTGCCCCACACCTTAAATTTTTAAAATTTATTATTTTTATTTTATGTGTCTGAGTGTACTGCATGCATGTAGGTAAGTGCACCCATGTCATGCAATGCCTGAGGAGGACAGAAGAGGCTGTTGGATCCCCTGGAACTGGAGTTACAGACAGTTGTTAGCTGCCATGTGGGTTCTGGGATTCGAACTCGGGTCTTCTGCAAGAACAGTCAGTGTTCTTAACTGCTGAGCCATCTCTCCAGCCTGCTGCCCCACACTTTAATCTGAAGGCTCTGAGCAGGAGCCCCAAGTGGCCTTCCATTCATACCTCCTCTTTTTCTTAGTTCTCATCTTCAGACCCCATTCTTTTCTTGACTCCTAGTATTCAAGACAAGACTGTCATCCATAGATGAACTGATTTAATCTGGTTCTCTGCTGCCTCCTCAACTGGAGCCCCTCACCACCCCCTACCTTCTTTAGGACTCCCTTGCTATGTCATTGTTTGCTGAGTCCATTCCAAGGCCAACCTCCAAGGGTTGCCATGGAGATATTTAGCAGGTATTCACTAAATGCCACATCCTTCCCTCTTCTGTGCCATCCTGCAACTGGGTCATGCTTTAGGGGATTTGAGTCTGATATGTCATCCAGGTGACCTGAGGACATGTATTGGATTCTGTTGGTGTTTTGTTTTGCTTTACTAAGATGACTGCATTGTAATTCTCCTTGTGTGTATTTTACGTGTGAGGAAACAGGCTTGAAGAGATCATGTTGAGGAGATGGTTCAGTTGGTAAAGTGCTTACCTTGCAGGCATGAGGACTGAACTCCATCCCGAGAACCCACCTGTAATCCTAGTGCTGAAAAGGAGGAAGACAAATAGACCCCTTGGGGCTCACTACCAGTTTAGCCTATTAGATGAGTTCCAGGCCAATGCGAGGCCTGTCTCAAAAAAAAAAAAAAAAAATTGGACAAAGTTGGAGGAATGACACCCGAAGTTAACCAGTGGCCTCCATATGCATGCACACACACATGCACACACACATGTAGGGACACACAAAGAGGTTATGTTGCTTCCTCAGGTACACCCAGTGAATGAAATAGTAGAATACAATCCCAGCCCTGTCCCCTCAGACTCAGTGCTTCCAGTGGTTGCATTAACTGTTTTGTGCTGAGGCAGGGTCTCATGTAGCCCCAGGGCAGCTTCAAACTCCCTACTTTCCTGCGTCAGCCTCCTGAGTGCTGGAATTACAGACATGCACCATCCTGCCTGCCTGCTCCACTGTTCAATGTTTTTTATTTTTTCCTCCCAGAAAAAGAAAAAACTAAATTGCAGAAGCAGAGAGAGGATGAGTTAATCCAAAAGATCCACAAACTGGTGCAGAAGAGAGACTTCCTGGTGGACGATGCCGAGGTGGAGAGGTTAAGGTGGGTCCTGGCCGTCATATCCCTACCATCTATTCCCCTCCCCACTATGAATCCATCATCTTCTCAAACTCACAGCCTCACTTAACAGGTGTGGCCTCTGCCATCACTCCCCAGACACCAAACTTAAATGAATCCCAGGTTTCTAATCTGAGCACCCACTTCAAATTCAAGAGAAACACCAATTCAGCCCCTCAAAGTCCTACGAAGTCCTGTGTCTCCTAGCTGATTGCCATTAAGGGAGGCAGACAGGGAGGAATCCTGTCATGTACCAGAGGACAAGGAGCCTTCCCCACGCATTGAGGCAACTTTCAGAACTTCTTCAGTCAGTCTCCCTGTGACTCTCTTGCCCTCTCAGCTTCCCAGCTTTGTCTTTCCCCTTCTCTTTAGTGGCCCCGATGCCCTCTCCTGCCTATTTATACTTGCCAATCTTGACCTGGATAGCCCCTGGCCCTAGAGCTGTTGTCTAACTGGAGGCTCCTAAGGAGGCTGCCCTTGGGTACTGCTGTAAATATTTAGTCTTAGATGTTTTTGTCCCAGGACAGAGCTTTGGAGTCTCTCTTGCTGTAGGAGGCAGCTTCCTCTTCATAATGTGTCCTCTGAGGTTCTTCTCCAAGGTTCCTTGAGGTATATAACCCAAGTCAGCTGGACTGCACTTAACCTGCTTTGTTCTTGTTAACATTGAAGAGCAGAGGTGACTTTCTCTCTGAGACCTGCCATGCACCTTGTAGAAGCCCAGGTGACTGGGCTAGTTTGAAGGCACAGAGGTGGCTCCCAGTTTACCGAACCCCAGCAAGGCACCTGAGTCCTAGAATGTCCTTGTTTCTGCCTTGAGATCTCTCTGTAGCTCTCTATGTGTCTTTATTACAGAACAGGTTCACCTACCACCAAATCACCATACATACATAGCACACAACAACATACACGCACCACTCATGGAGCCCCACACACTTAGCTTCTCTCTGTATTTTATGGTCCCTTGATGGTTTCCTTTTTTACTTTACTTTCCTCTTCTCCTTTACATGTCTTCCCAGGGAGCAAGAAGAAGACAAGGAGATGGCTGATTTCCTGAGAATCAAGTTAAAACCTCTAGACAAAGTAACCAAATCATCAGCCAGTGAGTTCATGCATTCCTCCTCTCCCTCCTCTTCCTCTTCCTCCTCCCCTCCCCCTGTGACAGACAAAAGGAGATTTCAAAGAAGTCTGGGACCAAGAGGGACATGATCCTATGTTTTACAGACATTGAACTTGAGCATGTGATGGCAGCAGGGAGGCTCCTGGGCCTGCAGCTTGTGAGGATTCCAAGGTCCCTACCTAGAAGCCATGGAGTCAAGCTGAGTTTAATGGTCTACTATTAACTATCTTGAAATCCTTAGTCGTTTTGGAACAAGAGGCCCTGCATTGTCATTTTGCCCTCAACTCCTAAGCGTGAGTCATGGGTCCTGAGCAGCTGGCCTTCCCTACTCCCAAGGTTTGGTGTGCTTCTAAAGGAACTGGGTGCCACTGTGCTCCAAGAGCTCTGGCTGCTATTAGGGCTGGAATCTGGAAGAGACAGAAGCACACCTCTTTGAATATCAGCTTTACAAGACATCAAAAGCAGAAAGGGTTTGTTGTGAAACAAGTTTGGGCAATAATGCCTCATAGGTTAGCTTCTCTATGGGGCTTCCAATGTCCACTAGGATGTTAAAGTGATCATGGATCCACTGTCAACGAGTTGTCTTCTATTTATTGATGAACTATTTCAAAAGTGTTCCTAATTCCTACAGTAGTGAAGTCTCTTTCAGTTATAAGATGTGGCTGGGTGTGGTGGCACATGCCTTTAATCCCAGCACTTAGGAAGCAGAAGCCTGTGGATCTCTGTGAGTTGGAAGCCAGCCAGGGCTACATAGTGAGACCCTATCTCAAAAAAAAAAAAAAGTGGCAGTCCTTTTTTAGGCTAAGCCAGAAAGCAAGAGGGCTGTTGGAGGAAGAATAACAAGAAGTCCGGCCTCTGGGACTAAGCACCTTTAGACTCACCTCATTTCCTCTCCACTTCTCATGTATTTGAGTGTTAGCTTCACTTCCCCTGTATTAGACTTGAGAGAACAACTTAAGGGGGAAGATTTGTTTCAGCTTCTGGTTTCAAAGGTATCAGCCCATCATGGCAGCAGAGTAGAACAGTTGACATGGTATCTGGGAAGCAGAGAAAAAGATTATACGAAGGGGCCAGAACAAGATCTAGCCCCGAAAGGCATGCCTCAGCCACCTGATTCCTCCAACTAGGCCCAGCCTCTGCCTTCTACCATCTCCAACATCATCATCCATCAAAGGATGAATCCATTGATTAGATCAGAGCCCTCATGTGCTAATCTTCTCTGGAAACACCACCACAGACAGACCCAGAGGTGTGCTTCACTAAACAAGTATTCTCAATCCAATTCAGATGAAACTTAAGATGAACAACCTCACTCTAATAGACAGGCCTTCTCCATGGCCAGGACCCCAGAAACACAGCCTGGCAGCTCCAAGGCATGCTAGGGTCTTTCTCCTGGTATCTAAACACATACATTTCAGAGAGAGCCTGACTGATCCTTTGTGGCTCATGCTCCCACCTCAGTGTCACCAAGAATCTGGGATTCTTCCTGTAGCCACTGGAGCATGAGCTGTTACTAGAGAAAGAGGAACTGGAATTCTTGCTGCTACCATCTAAACAAACACAAACCCAGTGTTCTGGGCCACCTATTAAAATCTTGGGAAAATATAGTTGTTAAGTATGCAGAATAAAGAAAGGCTCCCTTGTGTTGGTCCCTAAAACCACGAGGTACATATCCCTGCCTAGTATCTTCAGTGGCCTGTGTCTTCTAACAAAGTGAAGTAGAAAAATTCCCCCTAATAGCATGGAGAAGGAGCAGAGAAATGTGCCTTTTATGAAGGATTGTGGATAGAATATGGAAACTATTCTAGCAAGAAATCAAAAATAATAAGTATGTGCCACTTGCAAAGGGCCTCTTATGAGGCCTGAACTTTACTGATTTGGTGCTGGACTCTTAAGATTAAAAATAAAAATTGATCGAAAACCAGTGAAATCTCTGGGCCTCTAGTAACAAAACAAACAAACCCACAGAAAACAAACAAAAAACCCCACAGAACTGCTCAGAAGAGATGCTTGCACATCTCATGCCCACAGATAAAAGAAACCTCTAGGAGGATGAGCTCACAGTGAAAATTTAAAACCCATAAAGAATTGAATCACCACGAGGGAATCAGTGGATGCAGCTGAGGCTGCCGGCCCACCCTGATAGAACTGTTTTGGGACTGGTACGATGGCTCAGTGGGCAAAGGTATTCGCAGCAAAAGTCTGACAACCTGAGTTCGATTAATAGAACCCACATAAAGGTGGAAGGATAGAACCAACTCCACAAAGTTGTCCTCTGACATCCACATACCCATGGCACCCCACACATCATATATATGCACATAATTACAAATAAAGTTTAAAATGATTTAAAAAGAGAACTATTTTGAAAGGGCAATGAGCTAAGCATGTTTAAATTATTAAAGAGAGAAGGAACAAGATCCAAGATAGAATAGAATGATGCTATGAAAAAAGTGTAAGTAGCTGGGGCTGGAGAGATGGCTCAGTGGTTAAGAGCACTGGCTGCTCTTCCAGAGGACCCAGGTTTGGTTCCCAGCACCCACATGGCAGCTAACAACTGTCCTTAACTCCAGTTCCAGAGGATCTGATGCCTTCTTCTGGCCTCCATGGGCATTGCACACATGGGTGCATTTATGTATCTGCAGGCAAAATACAACATAAAATAAAGATAAACATAATAAACATAGAATAAAAATAAATACATAAATGTCTCCAGCTGATACTTAGCTTGTAAATAAAAGAATGAGTAGACTTGCAAAAAATTAACCTTGTTAAAAAAATGCCCACTGAAGTGAAAATTCAATGGATTAAATAAGGAGACATAGTTGAAGGTGTGCTTCATAAATGGAAGGCAGACCTGAGAAAATCAGCCAGGACACTAACAAACAAAACAGTAGAACAGATGAGAGTGAAAGCAAACATGGTAGAATGAGAAGGTCCCACTTACATCTCATTCTAGAAAATGGGATGAAAGTTCTACAAGATAATGTTGGTATTTTTTTCTGAATTGAAAGGTGTGAACCCTCAGACTGAAATGACTTGAACAAGATCGATCCACTTATCAAATACTTCTCAAATGCCTAGAAGATAAGTCAAGAGGGGAACTGACTAGGAGAAGGGCTGAAAACTCTGGCTGTCAACTGAGGACTGAATGTCAGGGGTGACCTTGTGGGGCAATGAGGAGTGATGTGTGAAATGCACAGTGTGCAGCTCTCCACACAGCCTGAACATGTGGTCACCAGTGCTCAGAGCTCTGCTTGCCTTACCTCTTCCCCTCCCCTTCTTTCCTTGCTGCAGGCTCCCGGACAGAGAAGAAAGCAGAGCCTCCACCTAGCAAACCCACAGTGGCCAAGACAGGGCTGGCACTCATCAAGGATTGCTGTGGGGCCACCCAGTGCAACATCATGTAGCCCCTTCGTGGGGTGCCCCCGGAGTCATGGGGACCCCTCCCACCCTCTTGTCATCATAGCCCCCATTTCACAGGGGCCTAAGAGCTCTCCAAGGCAGAAGGGGTTGAAGGCAAGTCTGTGACTGCCACCCAGGGGCCATGGGCAGGGCAGGTGGGCCCAGCCACTGCTGTACAGAGTGTAGCAATAGGGAGTCCCTCACCGCATGGCCCTCCCCAGAGCATGCCCAACCCAGGAGTCTGTCTTACCGTTTATCTAACCACCAAGAAAGGTCCTCCCTTAAAACAGTATATATCCTCACTCCTCTCTAGCTGTATCTAACCCACTGTGTGAATGAACTGGGAGAGGGGCATCACCCCCAGGTGTGTATAGCTGTGACCTTCTACAATCTAGCACCGTGTTGGACCCATTCCCCATCCACCTCCTAGCTCTGCTGTTAGGCACAAGTCCTGTCCTCTGTCTGTTCTCTCCCAGGGACTCTGCCCTGGACGGCCCCACACAGCCCAAGCACCTCTCAGGCCCCATCAGTATCAGGTTCCTGGAGACCACTGGCCTGTCTGTGAAGACTGAGCTTGTGTGTGGTGTTGGGCTCATACCTCCTGCTTCCTCCCATCCTGTATCTGAGCAAGGTTCATATCAGGAGTGTACCTACCAGGCTCCAGGCTCTTTCTTGACTTGCTGTGACTGAACCAGAGGTGTGGAGTGGAGTGGGGGTGGGGAGGCATGGCCAGGAGCAGATCCAGTGCTTGGACCAGGAAGCTGGAGGCTCCAACATCAAGCCAGGATGAACGAGAAAGGGACCCCAAACAGAGGCAAGCCCACATCCACTTCATCCACTGGGGGTCACCACAGGGAGTACCGTGGGATGTCACCCCACTGCCTGACACACTAATCTCTGTAAAGAACAGTGACAGGCAGGAGAGGAAACTTGACCCAACCATGCCCCATCATTTGGTGGCATGTTTGAACCAACCCAACAATTCCACCTATGTAACTTGATGTACATTTGTCACGGCCAGCCGGCACAGCCTGTGTGACCTCTCTGTGCGCGTATGTGTGTCATGACTGGCCTAAGTAGTTAGCATCAATCAAGATTTGCTGATGTGCAACCATCCATCAGAGAAAATAAAAACAGAAAACACACAGCATTTTACAAGTTCTTACTGTTTTCTTGATTATGGAAGTGATTCATGTACATAGAAAATCATTGAAAAAGTACAGAGACCTACAATTTTTTTTTTCTTGAGATAGGGTCTCACTGTATAGCTGGCCTGGAACTTCCTATGTAGACCAGGCTGGCCTCACAGAGCTGCACCTGCTTCTGCCTCTTGAGTGCTGGGATTAAAGGCATGTGCCACCACCAGCTTTTTTTAAATATATATATAAAAATAATTTTAACAGTCATAACTCTTCCAGTGACCTTTGACATTTTGGCATATTTCCCTGTAGTCTTTTCATACATTTCTTGTCATGATTGGTGTCATGTTGGAGCATTTTATAATCAGCTTTCTTTTCAGTGGTCATTGTATCACTGTGGCGTCTCCTACAGCATTAAAAGTGCTTTATAAACATTAAACACTCTTTGTAAATGTTTGCAATGTCTGCTTAGTACACCATCTTGTGGACATACCACCATCTAGTTCACCATTTCTGCACCACTGGACATTTAGACTTACTACCTTTTCCATATTGTTAATAAGGTGAAGATCAATGTCTTGAGGAGATACAATCCTTCATTGGAATTTCTGGCTTTTTTCTGCTAAGATAAACTAGAAGTAACATTTGTGGGCCATCAATGAGAAGTCTTCAAAATATCTTGCCTGGGGATGTAGCTCTGTTGGTAGCGTGCTTGCCTAGCATGCACAAAGGCCTGGGTTCAATCCCCAGTTACACTTACAAAGGGTGCAGTGGTGCATGCTGATGATCCTAGCACTTGGGGCAGGGGATGGGGGGAGGCAAAAGGGTCAGAAGTTCAAGGCCATCCTTGCTACATACAGATTCTGAGACACGCTAGTCTGGGCTACATGAGACCTCATCTCAAAAAAAAAAAAAAAGTAAATCTCCAGTGGATATGGAATCTCTCTGGCTGGAGACAGTGGCTTTGGAATTGACCTCAAATATTTCCAACTGTGGGACCCAGAGTCTTGGTGTTAAGACAGTGTATGTTGGGCCCCCACACTCTGTCTCAGATGAGTCTCTGCCTCAGTCCAGTGTGCCCACATGCCACATCCTGACATTCCAATACTGAAGAGGCTCAGAAGGCTACTTGATGTCAGAATATTGGCCTCAGGGGATACTGTGTTCTGTGGTACCTACATTATGTGTGAAGGCAGGCTGTATGCGTGTCCTAAAAATACTATAACAGTAACCCAAACTGGGAGGCTCAATGCCACAGAAATCTGACCTCTCAGTTCTAGAGGTGAAAGTCTGAAGCAAGATGGGTCCAAGGTGTTGCAGGGCTGTCTTCCTGCCGGGGGTGTGGAAAGAACACTTCCTTGCTTCTTCCAGTTCATGAAATCCTTGGCCTTCGGTGGCTTCACTACTCCTGTCCTTACTTCTGTACACACAGGCACGCTCTTCTGTGTGTCCTCTCTTGCCTCATAAGGACACCAGTCATGGGTCTAAGGCCAATTCTAACTCAATTTGACCTCATCTTGATCTGAAAAGATCCTGCTTCCAGTTAAGGCCACACTCTAAGGATCTAGGCTGTATTAGTCAGATTTGTCATTGCTGTGACAGAATGCCTGACACAAACAGCTTAAGGGGAAGACTTGGCTCACGGTTTCAGAGGTTCTGTCTTTGGTTGCTTAGCCCTGTGCACTTGGACAGGACATCATGGCTGGAAAAGAGCACGTGGTGGAGGTAAAGGAGCATCTCTCTTCACAGTAGACAGAAGCAGAGAGAAAGAATGCCCAGCCTACCTAGTGGAATTTCCCCTTTTTATTCCATCTGGAGCCCCAGCCTGTAAGAGGGTGCCCCCCATATTCAGGGTAGATCTTCCCTCCTTAATTAATCCTCTGAAAATGCCTTTGTAGAAACACTTGGGTGTGCCTTGTAATGTGCACTTCACAATCCAATCAAGTAGACAAGGTGAACCACCACAAGTAGACATGAATTTGGGGATATGTGATTCAACTTCTTATAGGCCCTTCACAGTCTAACCCAAAATAAACACCCAACCGCACAGGGCCTTCTGCTATCCTTTCTCCATGGAGAACATAAGGGAGCCTGACTCGAGACCAACTACAGATACATCATTCAGCAAGCCAATGGGCCAAGAGGAACAGAACACTCATGAGCATCCTGCCTCCAGTGTATCCACTGAGCACCTGGCAGAATTGCCATATATTCCTGCCATTACATTATTTCTTGTTTGTTTGCTTTTGGTTTTTTGAGACAGGGTCTCACTGTGTAGACCTGTTTGACCTAGAATGTGCTCTAAGGGAGGTTGGCCTCAAACTGAGTGATCTGTCTGCCTCTGCCTCCTACCACAGTGTCCAGCTTTTCCATTATTGTTTTTTAAAAGCAATACCCTAGCTAGGCATGGTGGTACACACTTTTAATCCTGGCACTCAGAAGTAGAGGCAGACATATCTCTGTAAGTCCAAGACCAGCCTGGTCAATATAGTGAGTTTTAGGCTAGCTGGGGCTACAGGGAGACCCTATATCAAAAACAAAACAAAACAAAACAAATAACAAAAATATCCTATCTCTAAAATAAAATAAAATAAAATAGCTGGGTATAGTGGTGCACACTTTTAATCCCAGCACTCAGGAAGAAGGCAGATCTCCATGAGTTCAAGGCAAGCCTGATCTACATATCGAGTTCTAGGCCAGCCAGGACTACATAGTGAGACCCTCTCTCTAAAAAAAAAATAAAATAAGCCAGGCATTGTGACACACGACTTTAATCCCAGTATTCAGGAGGCAGAGGCAGGTGTATCTGTGTGAGATGGAGGCCAGCCTGGTCTACATAGTGAGTTCCAGGTCAACTGGGGCTTAAAGGCAGGGAGACCCTGCCTCAAAAAGACCAAAACATAAAAAGTAAAATAACAAAACAACTATCTAGGGCCAGTAAGATGTCTCAGTAGTAAAAGCATTTGTCACACAAGCCTGACAATCTGAGTTCGATCTCTGGAACCCACAAGAAGTTGAATGTGGTGGTCCGATGTGGTCGTGGACATCTGTAATCCCAGCACTCCTATGAGAGATGGAAGACAGAGACAAGAGAAACTCTTGCCCCAGCTGGCCTGGAATACACAACATGGCAGAAGCAGCAAGAGAGACCTTGCCTCAGAGGCAACTCCCAAAAGATGGCCTCTGACCTCCACATGTGGACCTTGGCATGAGTGTGCCCACACAACACTGTACATACATACACATATCACACACACAAAACAGTAATAAATAAAAGTTATAAAATAAACATCTATTTAGGTTTATTGACAGGAACAGATGAAAATAATAGATAAGATGCTCCTGGGTCACCACAAAGCTGGGGAACCTTGCAGACCGTGGGGCTGACCACACCCAGACTGGTTCCTGTTAGAAGGCACCAGGGACGAGGTAACACGAGTCCTGTTTGTTGCTCTGAGCAAGATACACACTTGAGCTGTTTGCTCCTCCCACTGGCCCAACAAGGTCTGTCCTGTTACTACTTCCGCTGTGCAGAAATACAGTGGCCTTAGTGGTTTCACTGCTCATTCTCCAGTCCCCACGACAGCCCTTTTTCCTGTCAGACTTAAATGCATCTCCCCCATTTAAACAAAGACCTACCCAACTTCACTTCCCTTGTCTTTCTCAGCGTCTTCACGGACTTACTTTTTTGGGCAGTGGCCTTGTTAGCCCTGTCTTCCTAATCTCCAGTTGCCTCTTGAGTCTACTTTTTATTTCTTCCAGGGTTTGGGCTGGACCTTGTACATTAGGCAAGTGCTCTACTACTAAGCCCCAGCCTCCTAAGTCTATTTTAATGTTTTCTGACACTCAGAGCTGCCTCCTCTCAGCAGGAATGCAACCATTTTCTTATATTCAGCTGTGGCATGTCAGCCTCACACTGCCTCTCCTGCACATGATATAGACATGTGCTTGGTCACACCACTGTGACACCCATCTCTGGGTGCACTTCCTAATGCTCAGGAACACTTCTCTCTGGCCCTTTATTTTACTTATTTACTTTTTTTTTTTTTTTTGGTCTTTTTGAGACAGGGTCTCCCTGTAGCCCCAGCTGTCCTGGAACTCACTATGTAGACCAAGCTGGCCTTGAACTCACAGAGATCTGCCTGCCTCTGCCTCCCAAGTGCTGGGATTAAAGGTGTGCGCCACCACGCCTGGCATTACTTACTTTTTAAAAAAGATTTATTTCTATTTATGTGTGTGCCCCTTTTATTTATTGACTTAAAAAAGATCTCTTCTTATTTATGTGTGTGTGCAAGTGCTTGTGGAGGCCTGAAGAGGGCATCAGATCCCCTGGAGCTGGAGTTACAGGCAGTTGTGAGCCACCTGCTGTGGGTGCTGGGAACTGAACACAGGTCCTTTGGAAGGGCAACAAGCACTCTTAACTGCTGAGTCATCTCCTTAGGCCCTTTATTATCTATGTATCTGTCATCATCTAGCTATCATCTATCTATCACCTTTCTATGTAGTTCTGCCTAGGCTAAACTCATTATGTAGACAAGCAAACTTGGCTACAGGTTGGCCTCAGACTTACAGCTGTCCTGCCTCTCAAGAGCTGGGATTCCAGGCATACAGAACCATAGCTTTCCAGTCCTCTTTAACTCTTCCTGGTCCTCAGAGACCCTCAGTGACCTGTTCTTTTCTCTTTCTACTCCACGTCTTGGATTGCCAACTACACTCAGCTTCCCAGATCTGTTCTTCAGCCTAATCACTCAATGCTTCCTGGAATTTCCATTGGAAACTAGAAATCAAATGTAACACATCCTAAAATGATTGGCAAACTGCTGTCGAAGGGCCAAATTCCACCTGCCTTCTGTCTTTGTAGATAAAGTTTTATTGGTACACACACTCACTCTCACTCATTCCCATATCAGCTATGGTTGATTCTGTGCCCAGTACTAGAGTGGAGTATTAGAGAATATGTCCAACAAATCCTCAACTATTTACTCTCTGGACATTAAAACAAAATTGGTCAACTTAGAGGGCTCAGCAGATAAAGTGTTTGATGACCTGAGGTTGATCCCCAGTGGGAAGAGAACTGACTCCTGAAAGTTGTCTTCTGACCTGTGCTCACTCACACACACACTGTGACATTCACACACACATACTCATCCCTGTTCCCAGCTGCCCAAGGTTATCTTAGGACTTGTCCTTGACATCTCTATTCCTCATGTCTATCCAACTACCAGGACTTCAATTTCTAGGTCATAAGTATCTCTAGAATATGGCATCTCCTATGACAGCCACCATCATCCTTTGCATAGTCAACTATAATTTCTCGTTAATTCTCTTCCATAGCGCTCATCCTGAAATTCCTTCTCTATAAAGCAGTGTCCTAGCTTGTTTCTCCATTGCTGTGACAAAACACTCTGACCACTACCAACTTGGGGAGGAAAGAGTTTATTTGTCTTATATCTCCCAGGTCACAGTTCATCAGGGAGCCCAAGGTACAAACTCAGGGCAGGAATGGAGCTGGAGCACAGGCCATGGAGGAACTCTGCTTACTGGCTTGCTCTCCTGGCCCCTGCTCAGCCTGCTTTCTTATACAACACAGGCCCACCTGCCCAGGGGTGGTACCACCCACAATGGGCTGGGCCCTCCCACATTACTCAACAATCAAGAAGGTGCCCCATGGACATGGCCACAGGCCAGTCCAATGAAGGCAATTCCCCAATTGAGGCTCCCTCAACCCAGGTGTGTCAAGTTGACACTAAAGCTATCCAGCACAAGCAGCATGCTGATTTTTGTGGATAATGCAACCCTGATCGCCATTCCTCTTTGGAGCCATTTCTATAGTGTTAGGGTAAGATCTCTTCCTTCTACCTTATAAGCTTCTCTGTATATACCCCGAGCCTCCTGATGCCGGGACCACTCTCCCTTCATTTCCTTGGATCTTCTTGCTATCCTCTCTGTTGGCACAACTCCTGGATTTTCATACAGCATTTCCTCTTCCAAGGACATCTTGGATTCCTCACCAGCCTGTCCTCCTGTGGAGCTCTCTGTAGACTGACCAGCACTGCTCTTCAGCCAATCTAATCAGGTGTCCTAGACAGCTTTTGGTTGTTGTGATAAACACCATGACCAAAAACAATTTAGGGAGGAAAAGGTTTAATTCATTCTATAAGTAGCAGTTCATCACCAAGGGAACTTAGGGCAGGAGCTCAAGCCGAGTCCACAGAGCAACACTGCTGAGTGCCTTGCTCCCCTGGCTTGCTCAGCTACCTTTCAGGCAAGAAGGAAAGCCAGGCAGACAGGCCTTCTTAAATAGCCCAAACCTACCTGCCTAGAGATGGCATTGCCTACAGTGAGCTGGGCCCTTCTACATCAATTAGCAAATTTAGAAAATGTCCCACAGATAAGCCCACAGGCTATTCTGATAAAGAAATTTCTCCCTTGAGGCTCCCTCTTCCCAGGTGTGTCTAGTTTGTGTCCAGTTTACAAAAACTAACCAGGAAACCAGGTGTGCTGCTCCTCCACTTGAGACCCTTCTGTCTTCCCATTGCCTAGCAGGAGAGTCCAGGGTCTCCCTGGACCAGCTCTCCTAGTCCACGATCCCATCCTCTCACACCTCCCTTCTCTCAGAGGTCAGTGATGGGTGTCTTTCTCCATTGCTTTCCACGTAAGTTTTTGAGACAGGGTCTCTCACTGAACTTGGAAATTACCAGTTGGTTAGAAAGGCTGCCAGCCAGCTGCAGGGATCCATCCTCCTCCTGTCTCTGCCTCCTAGTGCTAGAATCACAGACCCTTGCTGCCACACTTAGCTTTCTTTTTTTAATTAATCTTTTAAGTGTGTATGAGCGTATTGCCTGCATGTGTGTAAGCGCACCTGTTTCATGCAACGCCCTTAGAAGTCAGAAGAGGGCACTGGAGTCCCCTGGAACTGGAGGTATGGAGAGTTACTAGCCACCATGTGGGTGCTGGGATCAAACCCAGGTCCTCTGCAAGAGCAGCTAGTGTGCTTAACAGCTGAACCATCATCTCTCTAGCCCCACACCTAGCTTTCTAAATGAGTGCTGGGGATTGAACTCACATTTTCACACATACGCAGCAAGCAAGCACTTGACTCACTGAGCCATCTGCCCAGCTCCCACTCCCAATTTTTATTGCAAAACTTTACTATGATGAAAAGGTGTTCTGATAACACTGCCCAAGGGTCTTTAGGAGCTTGTAATATTGAATGCGCTTCAGTACTACACTGTACTTTCTGAGACGCAACTTGTTTTTTCTGGAGCCTTTCAGGTTCTTCCCAAGGGGTGAAGATGAGGGAGGGGACACGAAATGGGGATGTCAGAGCTGAATCTGTAAGGAAATTGCTTGTTGGAAATGCAGGCTCAGCAGGGACCAGAAACCAGGCAGGCATGAAGCCTATGTCTCTTGCAGGGAGCCCCAGCACCTGTCCCTGGTTCTAGCTGGAAGGTCTGAGTGGTTACTGGGTTTTCTGCACACAGAAGCAGAAGTGCAGCTGGAAAATGAAGGTCCTGTTCACAAAGTGCCAACAGCCCAGTCACCTGCCTCAGGCATTTGAAATGTCATACCAGCTTCTTCTCCACCTCACACATTTTTTCTTTCAAAATAAGGTTCCATGCATTTCAGGCTGGCCTCAAATCTGCTATGTAGCCAAGATGACCTTGAATTTCTGCTCCTCCAACCTCCACCTCCAGAGTGCTGAGACTACAGATGGTTTATGTGGTGCTTCAAGAATGCTGAGCAAGCACTCTAACAAGGAACTACATCCCTAGCCTATTCACATAATGTTTTAGAAGGAGTCCAAAGCTGAGAGTACCAGAATGAGAGCTGACTGGACCGCTTTATAATTCTACCTCACAGACGGACAAAACCACTCACTGCAGATGCTTGCTCATAAAATTTATTGACAACTGTTTGGTCCCACCATCCTGGTCTACATAGTGAGCTCCAGGCCAGCTGGGGCTACAGGGAGACCCTAAAAAAAAAAAAAAAAAAAAAAAAAAAAAAAATTCAAACAAAGTAGACAGTAAAGAAAAACATCTTGTCCCCCAGCCCAATCCAAACAAACAGTGCAAGATGGGAAGGGGATTCGGTAATAACCTTTGTCTTTTTAAACAGGTAAATCTAATCTGGTACATCTTTCCACCCAGAAATAGAGTCTCATCGTCTCAATGTGCACAAATCATTGCATCATCATTTAACTAAGCCTCTGGATAAAAAAATAGACAGTGATGGGACTGGCCACCATGGAGCGCATCATGAACATATGCTTCCATCGCATCCTCACATTTTTAAACAGTGATTGTTAGTCACACGCGCCCCACACTAACCAGCAACTCCAGAATGGCACAGGCACACCTCACCTGACTGTGCAAAACCATTCTCTGTCCCTCATAGAACCTGCTCTTTGAGATGGCTCCGAGTGACTTGTAATGACATCTCCTATCTTCAAAGTCCATAATTCCTTCCTTTCTGGCAAACCTGAAGTCTGAGCGGGCACTCGGCCTTAGGAAGTCTGAGAATAAGGCAACTCATGTTCTCAACACCAACTTTATTACATTGCTTAAAAGCCTTTAAAAAAATTGCACATGTGCATTTTGCTTCCTGTAGCACTAAGTCTGCAGAGGAAGTGTTTTCAGGCCTCAAAGAGGAAGTGCTGTCAGGCCTGCACAGGAAGTACCTTCAGGCCTGCACAGGAAGTGCCCTCAGGTTTGCACAAGGAGTGCCTTTGGGCCTGCACAGGAAGTGCCCTCGGGCCAGCACAGGAAGTGCTGTTGTGCCTGCAGAGGGTTTCCAGTGCTGCTTCATCTTGATTGGGTCATGTGCTGAGAACTGGGAACCACTGGCTTCATTTAAAAGATTTTGGGAACAAAAATCCATCTGGTAAAAGTCTCTCTAGAGCCCTTATTTTTGTGGCATTTTATCAAAATGCTGGCTACAAAATCTGAATCCATTTTCTGGCTTTCTAGAAATGACATTTATAAACATTTCCCCCAAAGAAACCATCTAACTAGTGGAAGACCGTGCGCCGACAGATTCTTTCTGCTCTATGAATGGATCCACCTTTTTTGCCTGACAAATACAATCCATTGTAAATGTCAGGTGAGAGGGTGAGAGGCCCCCTGTGAGCGGACACCTCAGGCACCCAGAGAGAAGGCCATTCCACAGGGCGGTGCCCACAACAGCTGGCTTTTCCCAAATGCCAACATCAGACACCACAAAAACCCCCAACATGCCTCCAATAGTGACAAGGACAGTGAAACCAGACACTATTAAAAGACACTGAGCTAACATACGGATGCACATCTTCACACAAAGCTTCCTGGCTCCCCAAACCAGCTTTAAAAATCACAAAAACAAGGTTAAGCTGATCAACCTTGGCCTTCACATGTACAGATAGAACTCTGTTCTCTTCCCAGTGGAAACAGTATCAATCCCGCTTCTGGTAAAGCACCTCTCTACTCAGCTCTGATTTATAATTTATGCATTTGATGCATATTTTAGAAAATCAGACTCTTTCTAATACTGCCTCTTGACACACAATAATGTGTGTTCTCGTTCAAATGCTGACTTTAAAGGCATGACACCAAGACCATCTCCTTTCCTTAACCTGATCCTGATCAAACTGGAATAGAACAGAGAAGGGAAGCATCAAACACCCACAACTTTCTAGAAAGAGCCTAATTGGAATCCCCAAATGGAAACATTTAAAAAAAAATTGGGATGAAGCCACACTGGTCAACCATAGACATAGTTAAATAAAAAAAACAAGGCACACCAACAAGTCACTGGAAGCCAGGAACCTTCCTCTGTCAGCCTGAAAGCAGCCCTCCTCCCGTGGCTTGTCCCCCAAGTATGGCCCATAGGCCCTGCTTCACACAACCATGTTTGGCTTAAGCAAAGGACAGAGGCTGTAGGCTCTGCACAGGCCAGACCACCATGGCAGCACAATGGGAGTCAAGCCCTTTCCTGCTGGCTGAGGACTCACTGCTTACTTTCTTTGGAACATCACCTTATTTCACAATACTTTAGATTTTTAACGACGGCCAGAGTTCTTTCGAATAACTGAAACAAAGAAAAATTTCATATGAAAGCTCAAAAGAAACAAAATCCTTTGGAGGACAACAAAGACATGGCTTCCGGGGGGTTTCCTTAAACCAGAAAAGGAGGTTTTTGAGCCTGTTTTTGTGTGTAGAGTCAGACAGTTTTCCCCATCCTAATTCTGTGTTCAAAATGGGAGCTAAAGCTTGGTTATAGGTGCAAGTGAAAAGTTGGCTGCCAATTTGACTCTATTTTTGGGTTGCTTTTTGGCTGGGCTTTCCATGGGGTCCTTGATAAGCAGCAACTCTGGGGCTTCCGAGGAGGGGCCAGGAGGAGCCAGGGCTGGTGCTGGGCTGAAAGATGAGCTGGAATCACAGGGCAGCTTTTCCTTCTTTACTGGCACTGGAATTTCAACTTTTTCTTCTTGACTTAAAATCATAATTTCTATAAATACAGAAAGGTAAACAGATTCAGTCCTAGGTCTTAGGACTAGTTCTCAGTTTTTCACTTTTATTCTTTCAGAAATATTTTTGAAAGAACCTGCCAGCACCGGGCACATGCCTTTAATCCTAGTACTTGGGGGGCTGAGGAAGGATTGCCAGATTGTAAGGCCTGACTAGGCTACATGGCAAGACATTGTCTCAAAAAAAAGAAAAGAAATAACCCACCAAAACGTCACACAATTAGGCATTAGCTATGTGGCAATACTATACCTCACAAAAAACAAACGTTTAAAAACTGCATATCATCTTTCCTTGTATGCCATTTGCTGCATATTACAGGGCAATGTCCCCTGGAGATTCTTTGCTCTTTATTCCTCCATCTGGTGGCCACTGACCCATAAGCCACACATGAACTTTCTGAGGGAGGAGGGACCTTAGTGCCAGTGAGCCCTTGCCCATTCTTAGAGGCCCAGTGCCCCACATAGCCTGGCAACAGGGGCAAAAGGAGAGCTGCATGGGCCACCAGTACTCTGGAAGCCCAGCTGGTTTCCTTACAGGTCTTAGAGTCCACCAGAGGCACATGTGGAGCTCTGTGTTTGGAGAAAGACATATCACTGGGTCTTAGACACCCTCTGCATGTGGCAAGAGAATCCTGCTGCCAAAGGTACAAAGTGACAGTGACAGGGACAGCAGAGCCTGAGCTCCTCTTCAGAAGCTGGGCAGAGAGCTGCTTGTGTTGAAGTGCAAGCACCCCTTCTTGTCCAGGCATTCGGGAGAGCCCCTGCATATACTGCATAAAGGTCAGAGCCCCACAAAGAAGGGACTATGCACCTGCCACTAACTCCAGCTCTGAATTCTAGAGAAGCACACGAGTCCCTGTATTTTCACTGGCTCATCCCATGTCAGAGGCAGCTGAATACCCTCCTTGCCTACCCAAGGTCACCAGGGCCAATGATCACCTTACAAAGACTATGGGCAGTAAGAGCTAGCCCAGCAGTGGGGGAGGGCAGCATCAGCAGAGAAGGGAGGAGCCAGATGAAGAGAAAGGGAAGGGTCTCCTCAGAGCATCTGGGTCTCCTCACAGAAGGCTGGGGGACTCACAGGAAGACAAGAGGCCTTAGCCAAGTAGCCTGGGCCAGAGGGCTCCAGTATGATACAGCTGTGCCTGTAAAGCAGGGTTGGCAACTCCACTGCAGCACCAACAGAGTCCATTGTCTGTCAGCCTCATGATCAAGGTTGACACAGGCCGAGAAGGCTGAAAGTACCTCACGCTAGGCTGGCACTAAGCTATGGTGGAAAGAAGTTACCTTCCTTCGTTTCCAGGACATAGTCTAGGGCCTCAAGCCAGAGGTGCCTGGCTCTGACTTTCTAAAGCCCCAGTATGCACTAGGCCCCAAGCACAGGTGTGCAGCGGGTGATAGGTGTGCCTGAGTGGCAGCTGAACCTCAGACAAAGTAGAGAGGGCCTGAGGCACCATTCATGCTCCTGAGGTCTTCCACAGTCAAGTGACATCAGCCCTCTAGGCCCACCTGCTTGATGTTACCCAACCAACTTTCGGTTGGGGATCCTATTAGCAAGAACCTCAGCAGGGAAGGGTGGGCCTGAATAATCAGCAGAGGTGCTTTGATACCCAAAACAATATCGTTCTCTCTACTTCCTTCAGGCATTTCAAACATTGGCATTACAGGTCTGTTGTTACATCCACAAAATCCCCAGCAAACCGTAACCCACCTGAAGGCTCTTGAGGGTGTTCCTCAAACTGAATAAGATCAGTGGGCTGCAGGATGACGGGATCTGGTCTCAGCTGAGGGGATGGCAGGCATGAAGGGACGGGAGCACACAAGAGGTCAACAGGGGAGCTGCTGGCCAGATGGAGGAGCTCCTGCTCCATCTGACTGGGCCCTGTACAGAGAAGGCAGGTGGCTGGAGTCAAACAGTCTGAAACTGAGGTTTTCCTCAGCCTTAAAAGTCAGGAAGCATTCAAGGTATTTTTTTTTAAAGCCATTATCAGAAAGACCCTTGGCAGCTATCCATGGTGGCACACACCTTTAATACCAGCACTCAGAAGGCAGAGGCAGGTATATTTCTGTGAGTTCCAGGCCATCCAGTGCTACATAGTGATAGTGAGACCCTGTCTCAAAAACAAATAAACAGCAGGGGGAAAAAAAAAAAAAAAAAACCTTGGCAAAGGAGATACCACAAATCAGTGGTCTGTCAAAACAGGTTTGCAGGAATAACCAGTCCCTGAAGGAACTCAACCAAGAAAGAGGCTCTGTGGCCATTCTGGAAGAGGAGACACAAGGCCCTGAGATGGTACTAAAGAATCAGAGGAGTACAAGCTCAGCCTGAGAAGGATCTTGGCTCCTCTTTCTTTAGCTGCTTCTTAAGGAATGTAGGATGGATAGAGCTGCTGAAGGTTGGGAGACAGAGAAGATGACATAGATGCTGGAGACTAAGTTTTCCTCTAAGCACAGGCATAGAAATACTTCTATGTACCTTGTGGAATTCTGTGAAGATACAATTCTTGCATTTAATGATGGACCCCCAGGTCCTTCAGTACAGAATTCCAGGGTTGGTTTGTGTCCAGCAGAGCTGGCTCTACACAAAGCCTGTGATTCAGTGTTACCTGGAGAAGTACCATGGCACCACTATTACAGAGGTACAGAGACTCCTTGACCAAATGGTTTCTGAGCCCTTTTCTTAATGACGCCTTATGTGTGCTCTCTGTTCATTCCAAGTCTGCTTCTAACAAGAACCCCGGTGACTCAGCACAAATGCCCACCCATCCTATCCCTATCCCTGGACACTGCTCTCTAAGTCCCTGGTCATCCTTTACCACAATTCCATTTGACCAATAGAGCAAGAGTCCCCCTATGCTTCCATCCACTGCTCCTGGCTGTGTCCCCGTCCTCTGTATTTGGAGTTGGGCTCCTCTTTTCTCTATTTCAATAGTCTTAAATAACCATTTTACCAAGCATCAAAAAATACCTGACAGCTAGGTGTGACAGCGCATGCCTTTAATCCCAGCACTTGGTAGGCAGCTCTCTGTGAATTTAAGGACAGCCTGGTCTACATAGTGAGAACCTGTCTCAAAAAAAAAAAAAGAAAAGAAAAGAAAACAAACAAAACCACCTGAACTGGGGTATTTTTTAAGGACGTTACTCATCAATGCTATCACATGTAGGCCACTTTTTCTGTTAACTACACGCTAAACTACATTGAAAAAAAAATGAATATTTAACTTTAACAAAATGACCCATTGTCCTCTTTCCTCCATGCACCCCACCCCAAGCCACCTTCCCAGAATGTCACCGCCTGGTCTGCTCTTGCTTTTCCTTTCGTACTGTCGCTACCTGCTCCGAGCTGGAGTTCCGAGGCTATGTGGGATGCTGGCACCTCCAAGATCTGCTTGTTGTCTGTTGGCTGGGTCTCAAGATTGGCAGGGGACAGACCAAGCGAGCTCAGCCGGTCTAGAGGACAAGGACCACCCATCAGAGAGAAAGGTCAATGAAGGAGGTGTAACTGTGTCAGGGGAGGGGACAGGGGCTTACTTACTTTTCATGTCATTTTTTAACACTACAATTCTCTTATGACCATGTCCTTTTATCCAGACCACCTGCACACAAGACATACTCCTGGTTAAGCAGTGGAAAAGGAGGGGAAAGCAGCCTAGCATTCTGGAGAAGGGCCTCCTGTGCCTGCCTCACACACAGGAGAATGTTAATGAGTTTTCTATGCTTTTTCTTTAGCCTTTAAAGCAAAGGAAGGCAGAACACACCCCTTAGAAAAAGCTAAGCGGTCAAAAAACCATAAGGAAGAGCTTTAAAAATATTTGCAGTTCTTCAATAATGTCTTCCATACACTAGCTCTGGGATATAAAATCAGAACATACCCACATGAGAGTGCTTACCATTTCTTACAGAAACTAAATTCAACCTCAAAGGATAGCATCTCCCAGACCCTCCCACTAACTTCTGATCTTGACAGTAAAGCACCATCTCTAACCTGATGGTGCTCTCCACCTCCTCAGCCACATTAGAGTGGTGGTGGAAGACCTGGGCTCCCAGGGCTCCACACTAGTGACCTGTCACCACGTCCCTGCCCTTGGCTCCCAAGCATTCTTCCTCTATCTCACCATAGGCTGAGTACCCTTTGTCTCAAATGCTTGGAACTGGAGGGGATTTAGATTTGAGTATTTGCTCAAAACTCATTTGTTTTCATAAGCATCATGTATGCAGAGTCTGAAGGCATTATAGAGTTTTTAGCTTTTTCTTCTTTTAAGTGTACTTGTTTTGACAGCAAACCACATGAGGTCAGGTATGTATTTTCCATGGTGATGTCATACTGGCCTTCAGAATAATTTGGATTTTGGAATATTCTGGATTTCAGAGTTTTGGACCAGAAGTGTTCAACCTGTGTTTTCACCTAGCCCAATCAAGCTCTTCACCAATACCTACTGGGGCCTGCGCAGTGGCCAGGGCCTTGGACAACCTCCCTCCTCTACTTCTGTCCCTCTCAGCTCCTCTGTGGACAGGGGTCATGACACTTTCTGAGGGCAAAGCTGGGCTCTCCCTACCTTCTCCATAGCAAGAGAAGCAAGGCCCTCAAAACAGCTCCTACTCTGTGGGAAGCTCCAGCTATATTCTTTCATTTAAAAAAAAAAAAATTATCTATTTTTTTTATTCTATGTGTATGGGTAGATTGTCTGCATGTAGATAGGTGTACTCATGTCATGTAATGCCCACAGAGGCCAGAGAGTGTTGGATTCCCTGGAACTGGAGTTCTAGATAGTTGTTAGCCACCATGTGGGTGCTGGGAATCGAACCTGGGTTCTCCGTAAGAGCAGCCAGTGCTATTAACCACTGAGCCATCTCTCCACCCCCTATTCTTTCATTTTTATTTTTTTGTAGTACTGAGGATCAAACCAAACCTTGTGTGTGGCTAAGCAAGCCCTCCCACTGAGCCCCTGCAGTGTGGGTGTGACTGCCCAACACCTCACATGCTTCTTGCTGCTCTTCATCTGTAGATGCTGCCTCAGCTACGAGAAGCACCTATCCCTTCCTGCCACCTGGCAAATCAGACATCCTGCATGCTGCCACTCTAGGATCCTCCATGCTCTAGGTCCTGCCTGGGCCTTGCTCAACACTCACTGTGCAAGAGTCAGGGTTGTTGTTGCCCTAACCACACTGACCTGCTCAGGACACCAGCCTAGGTGTCCCACCTGATTAGGTAACCAGACTATCATTCTGTTACTCAGCACCTTTCTGAGAGGAAGGTCTGGGCCCTACTTACCTGGCACACAGGAATAAAGGAACAAAACTAGTGAAAAATTATAAACATTCATCTCATGTCAACAGTATGTTTGGAAAGAATCATTTCAAATGCCTGTCGTTTTATTACTCTGATGGCATCTTATACTTCTGACCAGGAGTTAGCCTTGGCTCTTCAGGAAGAACTTTCCAAGAAACTGAGGAAAACACCCACCTGTGGGATGGCTCCCAAGAGCTCCTCCACGCTATTGTACCCATATGTCTTGGGCTGCAGTGTTTCTCCAACATACTTGGTATAGGCCATGGAAAATTCATGAAGGAAAATCTGCTGGTAGTGATAGGTATGAAGCAAAGATCGCACATTCTTTGCAAACAAGTACAGGCTTGTGAGCTTCACATACTCTTCTGTCTTATCATTCGTAAACACCTGGTACAGAAGAAAGAGGATTAGAGCCTTTCTGAGTGTTAGACCTGTCCCCTCCAGCATGAGGGCCTCCTGCAGGGCCATTGAGAAGACCCCAAATCAACTTGGGCTTCTCCTAGTTTGTGGGATCTCTCCCTCCCCTCGTGGGTCGTTGGCCACTGGCCCACGAGGACAAAGGGAGCAGACGTGACGAATGGGGTCAGGATGGCCAGTGAGCACTGACGGAAGAAAGCCCTTCTGGGGAGGCAGTTTCAGTGATACAAACAGCTCCAGACTCAGTGAAACAGCTCCGTTTATTCAGTGGGGGTTAAGGAAAATATAGTGTGGAGGCAGCAGCCAATGCTTCAGCTGATAGATGCTCATAGTATGCTTTATTTACATGTGGCAGGAGGCTCCTGTCATCTGACTACTGGGCAATGCCTAATTATCATATAGAAAAAACCTGGGGTTAGATTTTACTCCAGGTAACTATGCCAAAGGTCATGTTTTAAATGAGGCCAAGCATCCGTGCTTGGCGGCACTTTCCAGATAAGTCAGGCTGGAAGCACCTGCTGAGAAAGGAGCCAACCTTAACAGCAGGGTTCCCCAACACTAGTTTGCAAAAGTTCCAGGAGAAGCATTAGGAGAGGCTTACACCAGCATCTTCTCCAAGAGAAGCCTCCATGAGCCTGAACAAACTTAGGTTTATCTGCAGGTGGAAGCCTGTGAGGCATGAAAAACAGTGTGAGCAGGGAAAGAAACTGGGAAACCTGGAGTTTCAACTAAGAACAGTGAAGGCAAGGCAGTCCTGAGAGACACATGGCGCATGTGGGCTGGGGCCAACAGACCCTCATCTCTCAGAAACACTGTGACATAGGAAGATAGCGGCGTTCTTGCAAATACACACAACCTTTCTATCTTCTGGTACCCAGCTTTTGAAACTGAATGTGGTATGCTGCAAAAAGTATGGCAGTATCAAAACGTTTCTGAGTGCACAACAAAAAAAATGAATCCCAACAGTCAAATGTGTAATGAACCTAGGTATTTCTGGCAGCACCTGCCCATGTGTGTCACCTGATTTCATTATAGCCGTGGTTCAACATAGTGTGTGTGCTCTGCACTGTGTATGCTGGCATGTCTCACGACACCAAACACTGCCTGAAACACCATAGCTCAATTCTAGACTGCTGTGCACTATGAACTGTAGTGTTTTTACTGTACATAACAATTTTTCTGCTGTTACAGAAGTACACTGGTTTAATTCTGGAAAAACAAAGACTTTTAGTATGTTTCATCATTTCTCAGCAAGTCGTCAAATGAGTACATCTTTGGCTTGTACTGTGCTACAATATTTGATTTGAAAAACTGCTGCTTGAGGTGCTGACTTTAGTTTCATTAAAAAAAAGTGTGAATTTTGGTTTGGAATTAGGACAGAATTTCCAACAATTTCTGAAATTGCTCTAAACATACTTCTGTCATTTTACATTCTTAGCATTGATGATTATAAAATCAAAATTGAGATCTCTAAAAAACATAGACGATGTGTTTGATTCTGCAGTTTCAATATTCAATGATGATTATTTACATAAAAATAAAAAAGCACATCCATTTTAATAAGCTAATTTGCTCTCTTTAGTAAATGGTAAAATTACACGTATACCAAAGACTCATTTTAAAATAAATTTCCTTATAATTGTCAGTAAATGTTGGCTTTATATATTCATTTTATATACTCATATACCTAGTGTCATATAAAATTTTTCTTGGGCAAGCTAGGCATGGAGGACCACACCTTTAATCCTAGAACACAGAAGGTAGGCGCAGATGGATCTCTTTGTAAGCTAGAGGCCAGCCTGGTTTACATAGAGTTCCAGGCCAGACAGGGCTATATAGTTAGACCCTGCCTCAAAAAACCAAACATCAAACAAAAAATTACTGGGCAAAAAATAATTTTTTTCCCAGGGTTTTCTGTGGGAAAAGTTTAAGAAGTCTATACACTACTATGTCAGATTTCATTATCATGAAACCATCCAGTCCTTAATACGCACTGCAATCACCAAGAGAAGGGGTGCTTCCAACTTCAGCTGGCCATGACAAGTATTTTTGTTTTGAAACATCTGCTAGCATTATCCAGAACTTGTATTGGTAGAATGTACTTAAGAGCCTTTTAAAATGTCAGACTTGAGGGCTGGGAGTAGAGCTTAGCAGTAGCACTTAGTATGAGTGAGACTCTGGGTTCAATCCTTAGCACCACAGAAAGTAGGACTTGATTTAATTATGTACCACAAAGTTACATTAACAGCTTGTCGTTCTTTTCCTACATGGGTGGATTTTATTCGTTTATATCTTATGTAATCATTTTATTTGAAGAGACTCTATTAAGTTTGGAAATTAAAGTTATTTTGGCTACATAAAAATAAGTGGCATGAGCTGTAGCTTAGTGGCAAGGTTCTTGCTTAGCATGCATGAGGCCCTAAGTTTGACATCCCCCAGCACCACAAATGAGCAAAAAGGACAAAAAGTAAGTAAACTATGCCCTCTACCACACTTTTCATGCCCTAGAATGGTTTT